TTTTATTTTGAATTTTGAGACAGAGTCTGCTTCCTGTTGCTTAGGCTGGCTTGGAACTTTCGATCCTCCTGCCTCAGACTCCCTGGTGGCTGGCATTACAGGCAGGTGCCACTGCGCCAGGCAATAACCAGTAGTTGCAAAATGCCATTGCGGAAATGTGTGAACRTGGAAAGTCGGTTGCTGAGCACTAGGACGAGAGGTGACAGTCTAGAAAGGATATGATGTTCTTACAGGGGAAAAGAAAAAAAGAGAAAAGAAAGGGCCAGGGGAAAGGGATATGCCTAAATTGGGGAAAGTAGAGAAGGAAGTCTTTTTTTTTCCCCCTGTCCTGAGTCTTACAGCAAGGTGTGTGGCTTTGTGTCAGAGTCCCCTGCCACTGGCTGCCTTTAGAAATGATGCTGTGTACTTGTGGTATGTGCACAGATGAAAAAACGGAAGCACATTAAGGCAACGACCACTTTCACTGACATTTATTATTATTTTTCTTCTAATGAGCCCACACTCCTTTCAAGACTGGAGAGAGAGGGCTGGGATCGGGGCTCAGTGGTAGAGTGCTCACGTCCCTGTGCGAGGCCCTGGGTTCGATYCTCAGCACCACATAAAAATAAATGTGAAGATTGGAGACAGGAACTCAGTCTTTCAGACACCCACCCAGATCTGCGTTTGGGTAAAGCATCAAAGCCCTCTGCACCCTCTCGCCGCTTGGCTGTTTCTTGGTGTCTTATCCTCATCTTTTTCTCTGGCCTCACCTTCTCCTGGGCCTCCACAGTGTGGGTTCCCACAGCCTCATTTCTGCCTGTCTCTTTGAGTCTCCCCAATCCAGCCTGGGGTCCAGGAAGTCCCCCCTTCAAGGCTCCTCTTGCTCATGTCCTCTGGAAGAGAAGGTCGCAATGAACCCAGGGTTTGTTTTGAAGCTGAAGGGGCAGGTCTGCTGTTTGCTTTCACATCTTGTCTGTTTATTTGAGCTGCTTTGTTTGTGGAGTTTGAAGGAAATTAGGGGGAAGCTAAAGCCCGCTTTCCCTGCAGGCTGCTAACCCCCACCCAGCTGGCTTAGCCGCAGTCCTGTTTCTTTGTATGTTTGAAGATGAATTTAAGGCATGGTCAGGGAGTCAGAAGAACACAGGGGAATCGGGGGATGAACCAAGAAAATGATGTGGGGAATTCTATATCTACTCTTCAGCTGTCAGAACCGCCTGGGGCTGCATGCAGAGCAGTCTAGATAAGTCCTTTCCCCCTGCTTCCCATTCTGTAAGAAGAGAAGTGCCCAGAGGCCCACACTTCCTAAATGGTGGTYTTCAAACCCCTGGTGATTTGCAAAGACAAACCAGGGCTTCATGGTAGGGAGGGTAAATACATCAGCCTTATAGTGGTTCTGAATACAAACCCCACTGAAGAAATTAATTATTTAAACAGTTCCATGACTGAGTAGTTGAGAGTCTCACTGTGTTTCAGTGGGAATGCAGAGGGGAGAGATGGAATCAGATGCACCCACCATGGCAGCCTGCTGTAGGGCCTCATCCTCTGTAGCCAATGGGAAGGTTTTGACGACCACACAGTCTCATCTCGGGGTGATTCTTAGTTATATATTGTTTAAGTTTTAGCCACAACGGTGATAATGGCAGTGGGAAATCTCTTATTTCATCATTTAGAAACAAAATATTAAAAACTACCAAAATAAAGCACTTTTTTTTCTTAAAGGAGCAAAATGGAAAAAACTTCAAATATTAGGTTAGAAAGCAGTGTTTGTCCATTTTGGTGGATAATTGTAGTTAAAATCTGCCTACACATGTTATGTATTCAGTCTTTTGAAAAAATACAACATGCTGATATTTGAACTACTTTTAGACAAAACATTTCATCTTGGAGAATGAATCCAAAGTAAACCACATGTGGACCTCAAACTTTTAAGAGAGAGAGAGAGAGAGAGGGAGAAAACCTCTTGAGATGTTTCTATGCAGATAATAGAAGAGGGAGTAAAATAAATTTCAAATACCTTCTTTAATATTATGCTGAACTTAACATATTTTGGTTTAAAACTTACTAATCATTTATCCTAGAAAATGCACCAACTTGCAGATTTCTAATGGGCTTATTGAGAGTGCATAACACTTGTGAGTTAATTAGATTTGGGAAAGCTGTTGGATACCTCGATCGACAATTTCTTTTTTTTTTTTTTTCCAGCTGTGATATTGAACCTAAGGTAGAATTCAGCTCCTGAACCCAGAGGAGCACCTGCCAGAGGGCGCGCGGGGTCCTCCAGGCCTCCAGGGGGCAGAGGAGGACGCATTTCCTTGCTGAGCATGCGCCGTGGGTCTCTTCTGTGGGCGTGGTCTCGCAGTGCGCCTGCGCGGCGGTGGGGCGGGGTCTGGGCTGTCAGCCGGCGAAGAGGAAGGAGCCGGCAGCGTGCGGAGTGAGGGGCGGGACCGGGCGGCCAGCGGAGGGTCGGCGAGGGCGGCCGGGCCATGTGGGCGGGCCGGGGCGCGGGGCCGCCGGGGCCCGTGGGGGTCGCCGCCGCCGGGCTGCTGCTGCTGCTGTGCGGCGTGGGGCCGGCGCGCGGCTCCGAGGACATCGTGGTGGGCTGCGGGGGCTTCGTCAAGTCGGACGTGGAGATCAACTACTCGCTCATCGAGGTGAGCGCCCGCCCCGCGCGCCGCCGGCCTCGCGCTGTGACCCCGGGCCGGTCGCTCAGCCTCTCTGGGCCGCCACGGCCTGGCGCCCGGCCCCGCGCGGCGTCCGCGAGCCGACGTATGGCTGCGGGTTCGGGCGCGGGGCCGCGGCGCCCCGAATCCGGACCGCAGCCCCTGGAGCCCTGACCCCGTTTCTCCAAAAGCTGGACCGCAGATYTCCCCAGACCCTGCAGACCACGATTCTTACCCACCCGCGCCACAACCCGGAACCCCCCGCCCCGCAAGGTCCAGTCCAGTGCTCCCCAGGTGCTTTTAAAAGAGCACCCCGAAGACCCACCCCCGGTGGAGCTGTGCTGGAAACTCCGCGGGGGGCGGCTRCGTCTTTACCCCCGCCCCCAGCTGCTTTTCCTCTGAAAGGGGAGCGTTGCCAGCTGTCCTGATGGGTGTCCCTCACCGGAATCACACTAGASATCCGTGTAGAAGTTTTCTTTAGGAAAAAAAAAATTAAATTGTAAGGGTCTGTGAAATGATTGTCATCCCAGTGGGGTTGTGGCCCAGATAGCTTCAGAAAAGAGGACTGGGGAGGGACACGTGGAGGTAGGCTTCCAGGACACCTGTCAAGGTGGGTGAGGAAGAGCCRCCGGGAGGGCTGGGGGGACAGGGGGATGGAGGGGAATGGAAGAGGCACACACCAGATGCCTGGGATGGGGTTTGAGAGAAAACAAAGGAAGGGGCAAGGAGATGCCAAAGAGAAGGGACTGGGAAGGGACAGAGGCTACCCGAAGGCACCTTGGAGCTGCCCCAGAGAAGGCAGAGTGGAACAGCAGGATTGTGCAGAACAGGTCGCCAAGGATTGTGGGAAGGGCGGGAAGTGGATTCCCAACACTTCTGACCTGGCTTTGCTCCAAGTCCGGTTTCTTACCTGTAGGATGGTGTTGGGAGAGAACAGATACTTCTACAGAGGAGGCTGTGTTGTCAGCCTCAGGGCCCCTCTGTCCGCTGTTCCTCTACCCTTTTAGTCCTAAGGGCTCGCAGGAGCTCCTGGGAACCTGTTGGGTCCCCATGCCACCTTCTGGGTTTGCAGGCACAGGGCATTTCAGAAGCTGTCTTCAAAGCACCCAGAGTAAAACAGGACACTGTCGCGGGCAGTTTAGTTTCCTGGGGCTCTGGGAGGAAGGGAAAGGCTGTTAGGGCACCCACCCCCCAGTACTAATGGTGGCCTCCGGACAAGAGAAGTGTATCTCTTGAGCCCTAGGGCTGCCCGTCCCCCGCATGTTCTTTTGTATTGGACACTCCTTCTTTCATAATTACTGGTGATGAAATCAGACATTTCATATGAGTAACCTCACTGTAGATTAGGTTGCCATTCAACATCCTCATCTGTACTTTATGAAAGRAAAGTCGGTATTTCATGGTCTTTACTTGATGTGACCCAACCTGGTTACCTTCCCCTTCTCTAGCCTTCTTCCCTCTGGGGGTGCTTTTGCATCCTGTTCAGTCAACAACAACTTATTGCGCTGCTGCATGTCCTGCAGCGTGGCCCAGGTGGGGATAGAGCGGTGCAGTGAACCCACCAGAGGAAAGTCCCTACTCGGGGCATTGACATTTCTGTTCTTTACCTGTGGCCTGAGCTGTTAAAAAGAAGAATCATACTGGTTGCTGACACTTTAACAATTAAGAGATTTCACCTTAGAAACTGAATTCCTGA